GGGATTTGGTTCGGGCCCCCAAATTAGTGAATGCGCCCGTGCAGTGGGTGTTTACTTTGAGTGCGTAATGTGTGACGACACAGGAAGCGGAAGCGAAATAATCTTATAAGGGAGCGGAGGTGCGGTCTGACAAAGCTGCAGCTGAAGGTATTTATTCATTTACACATTTACACACTTATAGAACTTTAGTTTAAATCTCACTGAGTTTGTTTTCCTCTCAGAGTCCAAATGAAAAACGCGAAGCAGCGAATCACGCGTCAACTTGTTTCGCTCGCGTGTGCAAATCCATAAATCCACATTTTAGTTATTTAGCCTCAAAGTCTTGTTTTAAGAATCAAATATCAGTTTATTCCACGTCTCCTGATTCACAACGAGCCAATGTGAAGAAATATAATTACTCTGAATTATACTTTAAAAAAAATAAAGACTGATGTCAGAGGTCAAAGATATCTATCTGGGTTTCTCTCTATCTGTCCATTATTTTTAATTACTGATTCAATATGTTCGTTCTTTTTCATGGGAATATATGCACGAATGTTTTTAACAGTGAACTCTCGAGTTTCAGGGTGGAGGATGGTGAAGCTGTCAGAGACGATCATCTTAATGAATGAGTGATTCATGAAATGACATAGACCCACACGATCTAGATGGAACCTGGGTCTTGCTAATTAATCCAGATAATAACGACTAATGACACAATGACTAAAAGGATTGATGAAGCTCAACGAGCCGATTTGAAGGTTGATACTGATAATTGAGAGAAAAATGTAATGTACAATGATATATTTGCCAATATTACTTTTTTAATGTAAACCTTTATTACGATCCCTGAAGCTCAAGATATGTATTGAGATAAATATACAGTAACTATCATTTAGTTGATTAGAGGTCATTTATCATATTATGCGATACTTAAGGAATATGTCCTCAGAAATTCTTCATTGGCGTAGGTGCCATTGACGATCTATCTTCCAGGTTATAATGAATAAATACCAGGCTATTCACACTATAGGGAAGTGTTCTTTGTCTGCAGCTCGACAAAAAAATAACAAGAGTCATGGCAAGACTGAGAATACTGCACGTTAGTCATCAGGAGGAAATCTATACTGTGCTCTGCAGCTCTGAGGACAGAACAGCTCTGGAGTGGTCGGTCTGATGCTCTAATGGAACATTTCTGTCATAGTAATCATATTAAAGATTGAGGGGATAAATCTGAGTGGGGTTGGTTGTAGAGCAGCTGAAAACAGGGGTCTAAAACAGATGTACAGTACTTGTGTGTTCTTGAATGTAGACTGAGCACTTGAATAAGAACACCTCACTAAACACATCAAAAGATGTCATGTCAACACAGTCTGCAGATTTGTTATCTTTCAAGGAAGGAGGAAAACATTTCTGTTTCCTGCTCAGTCTGAATTCTAAAGATGTGGTGTGTTGAACTGGTGGGCTCGGTGCACTGATCGTCAGTCTCCGCCCACGGTAGGAAGAAGTAGACGAGCAATGGTGGGCATCATATGGAACGGACACGTCCTCCTTCAGCTGTGACGCCGCAGACAAGTCTGCAGCTGACATGTTTATAAGTAAAACAAAGTATTATTGTGAAGTGGAAAGGTCGGGGTTTTTCAGGGAAGAGCTGTCTCGTGATCTCAGAGTGTGTGTGAAGTGGTCAAACCGGTTTTTGGATGTTGCGTGAGAAGTTGACTCATTAAATGTCTCTAATAGATTTCAGCTCATGGTTTGGCTCATAAATTGTCCAGAATAATGATGAGAGTGAAGTTAACTAAAAATGTTAAACGCTTAAATTATTCTCAGCGTCTGCATTTGTAAGTTATCACAATTATTTAGTTCATGTTAGTGATACACCAAAGTATCAACTATTAACCAGACTCAAATGATTTATTCAATTCAGTTTTTCAACCGTTTTGATTAAAGTCATAAGTTTCTATTGCTCACTTTTTGTTGGCTTAACAAGGGAAATATAATAATAATATCTTTATTTATACAGCACTTCTCAAAGCAAAGTTACTTAGTGCTTCACAAATATATATATATTTGTGAAAGACATAACATAAAAACGCATAAAAGATTAAAAGAATCAGACAGTGAAATGTAGGTTTAAACATCCATAAATAATATAAGGGTTATAATGTGACGCTGGGGGAAAAGGAAGTCGGGGTTCTGAGGGGGCTGCAGCCTCCTCTACAGGCACGGGGCTGTAACTGTAATATAAACAAATCGATCATCAGATTGTAGTGGTGGTAGAAGTTGGTTAGAAAAGTAGTAGTAGGGCTAATGTCCTCACATGGCTCAGATATACATCTAGTTACCTCTGTCACACTGAGACACAGAGACGCTGCTGTTTGTTGTGATATCAACTTCGTCAGTTATCACAGACAGTGAACTATTGTTTACTGTAAATGAGTTTTTCCTTATTACACAGAGAACTAAATACCAATTCATATTGAGAGCAACATTTATATGAAAAACACACAAACTAACTAAGGCACAGTATGTTGTATATAAAATAATCTGTGCCCCAGTTTATGTTTCTGCTTCAGGAAACAGGAAAGTGTTTGTAGAGAAAACATTCTCCGCCCTGGAGAGCTGACAGAAAGTTGCTCTGTTCCAGTCCAGAACCACCTATAACACGTCTGCCCTCCTCCTCCCCTGCTCACTCACCCTTTTCTGTTTCCTTTTGCAATGAATTTCTCTCCACATGTGCGTTCCTCATTTACCACTCATACAGCCTCTCAGACTCGTTCTTCCACTTTGTCTTTGAGAACAGAAACAGCAGCAGTGATGGATCGAGTGAGGTCAACCTTTAACAACCTGGTGAGTGTTTGCCGGCCACATTTAACATTTTTACTGAAATCTTACATTTACACAAAATGGCCTTGTCCTCTCGTCCTCTCCTGCAGCTTCTCTATCAAGGCCACAGTTCTGTGTTTTTTTTTTTTTTTCCATCTTATCTTCCCTCATCTTTGTTTTTCTCTCCTCAGTTTAAAAGCAAGCGCTACAGCCGGTTCACCCTGCAGCCGGTGGAAGACGGAGAAAGACATGTCGAGGTGAAACTGTCTGACGACGACGCAGATGATAACATGGAGGTTGCCATGGAGGTCGAGGGCCAGGCGGGCGGCTCTCCGAGCTTTAGGCCGGCACCACCGCGTCAAAGCCAGCGTCATATTTACTTCCTGGCCCTAGGAATCCCGCTGATATTTGTAATTGGTAGGTCACCGGCTATTTTAAGGCTTCAACCAAAAATTCTCTGTATTCATAAATGTTTTATTAATTTGTCAGTTATTTTTATGCACATCACAATCTCTTCAAATCCAATAAACCATCTTTATCTTTTTGTTCAACCAACAGTCCAAAAGAAATTAAATAAACTGCATAACTACAACTGACGGAAACAATATATTAGTTGTTATAATTTGTCGAACTGATTATTTCAGAAGTGAGTGATGCAGAGTGTGATTTGTTTTTTCAATAGATGCAGAAGCTATTTTAAAACACTGTCAATGAGTATTTATTTATTTATTTATGTTGCTCCTTTATATTTAAGCCAGACCAGAGAATCTTCACCTTCTTAAGAAAGGGGATGTTGCTGCATGTGTTGCCCAAAGTGTCAGACTTTTTACATGCATCTATGAAACCACTTCTCCCTCTACGTTCGGCAAGACTCCACTTTATCTGTAAAACACTTTCGAACAACAAGGTAACAGGTGCTGTACTTAAAACATGAAAAAGGCATGAAGACAAGATATAAAAGATAAACATGGTGAAGAGCAAGTAAAATGGAAGATAAATAATTTATAAAGGAAGTAAATGGATTCATGGAATAATTTAAGTAGTTGTGCAGAGTTCAACTTTTTCTGTGTTTTATGGTTTCTAGTCTTTTTATTTGTATTTCTATTCTGATGGAATGTTATCTTTTTCTTTTTGTAATCTGATCCTATTGGTTTTTATTATTGCTTTTGTTTCTTGCTTTTATTTATTACTTGCTTTTCTTACTGTGAATGACTTTTTGATGTTGACCAGAAGTTTCCTGCGTCTGCTTCATCTCACATATAGCATTTTTATTTATTCTTTTATTTATAACAGCATCAGCCAACCGATGATGGTTGTGGTTATGATGTCATCGTTTTATCTGTTATGAGTTCAAATCAGCTGATGCATTGATCGGGCTCCATTGAAATCACTTTCGGTCTCACTGTTGCTGTTCCTTTTCCAGGTTATCTGTTGGGATACATCAGCCACCGTAAAGTGGAGCCGGTGAACATGGAGCCGGTGAACACAGGGAGTCCAGTACCAACGACACAGCACCATTTTGTACCAGCTCCAGATTTGCCACTGCAGTGGACGGACATCACCCAACTTCTGACGCAGAAATTCACCAGTCAGGCCTTCGACAAGTCTCTGAGGTAGAGAATGAATTTGTCTGCTCTCAAACCACTTGTCATTCTGAAGGCGAAGCCAGAAACAAGGAAACCTCACCATGCACACAGCCAACAATCCCAAAAATGTACAAATAAGGAAATTATCTTGAGTTAAAGAAAACAAAGACTTCTGTTCTTCTGAGGCTTGGCCGTTAAAAAACTTTTTTTTAAAGGTGTCTTTGTCACTAGACTGTCTGCAACTCGGACATCTTTTGTCCTCCTCTGACAAAAAACTGTTCATGACAGTTTGAATAGCGCCATTGTTTCCCTAAACCTTGAAATCAGCCCGGGCTCTTCACTTTCATTCCAAAACCTCGTCCTGTGTCATTTTGAAACATTTTGTATCAGTCACTGGAAACACTTACAAAACAAACTACGTTATGTCTACCGAGAACTCAGCAGTCATCTGTCCACCTTTTCTCAGAAGAGATTAAACTTTGCACGAGCCATTTCAGAAAACTGAACTGAGGCAAAGTTGAGGAGGAAATGTGATTATGATCTTTTGCAGGGACTTTGATCTGCCTAGACGTTCGGCAGGAAGTGTGGAGGATGCAAATCTGGCAATACGCATCTTTGATGAATTCAAGCAGCTGGAAATGGACCCCTGGACGGACATCCACTACGTCCAGCTGCAGACACCAGACAGGTTGGTACAACACGAATCTGACAAATCAGTGGATTCTGATTATTTTATTAAAGAACATTTCTTTAGAAGGACTCAGTTTTGCCTCAGTGTGGTAACAAAATTCAAGTCCAGAGTTTGAAGCGGAGCCTAGACAGCTCCATTCTTGGCCTTTTGGGGGCGCTGTAATTCAAGATCAGACGGCTGGCAGACATATTATATCATTATTAATAGTAGATTTTAATACCCAGCCTAAGGACCAATCTCAATTCCTCTCCCTTGGCTCTCACCCTTGATAAGATGTGCCCTTCACTGGTGTGTCCTGTCCACATGGAGAATGATATAGTAACAAGCTCTTTTCTTCTTATCGACAGCAATCGCCCAAACCGTGTCCTTTTTGGGTCAGATGTGTTCAAACCTTTGGGATATCTGGCCTATAGCGCGACTGGGAAAGTTCAGGTGGGTCAATAAGACAGGTTTAGAGTTAAAGAAGGTTTATGTCCCTTCATAAAAGTTGTTTATTTCATTTGTGTTCAAACAACATTCTTGTGTCATCTGATTTAAAGCCTCTCCTATTTCTTTACATAGCATCCTGGATTAAATATAATAAATAATAATTTCCTGTATTTTTCTCTTTTCAACTTTAACATTTTGTTTAAAATATTTTTTTAATGTAAATGTTTTCACGCTCCTTTTCTGTCTTTCTAGCCTTTGTGCTTTACACATAATATATTAATTATTGAAACTAGAATTGTAAAATTGAATATAAATAAAATTGGAGGCAGAATGTAATGATCTGTTTGACTTGTGTGTACAAAGGGTAAACTGGTTTACGGAAACTACGGTCGTCTGGAAGACCTGGATGTTCTGCAGAATAAGAGCATTGAGCTGAAAGACAGCGTGCTGCTGCTCCGCAGGGGAAAGATCACGTTTGCTGAGCAGGTGCGTGATTGTTTCAGGTTCTGGTGTGTCTCATATCAGTTACACTGATTTCCAGGTTTCTGAGAAAGTTGAGCTCTTTCTGTTTTGATGATGTTTCATCAGGTGGATAATGCTGCAAGAAAAGGAGCCTCCGCTGTTCTGATCTACCCCGACACTCAAGATTACAATTATCAAGGGGACACTGATCTATATGGACATGTAAGTGTGTACACAAACATTAAATTAAATTTTACACATCAGTAAAGTCAAATTATCAAACTGCTCGGCACACAGTGGTGTTGTGTCTTGATTTATGTTTTCATGTCCCCTTCAGGTCCATCTGGGTTCAGGTGACCCGTACACGCCCGGATTCCCCTCCTTCAACCACACGCAGTTCCCCCCGACTCAGTCGTCTGGCCTCCCCAAGATCCCAGCCCAGACCATCACCGCCAACACGGCCACTGCGCTTCTGCGGTAAGGACACACAGACGCCTAGTACTCATTTTCTGAAACCCTGGATCAGTGTTCAGTGCACATTTCACCGGTCCCTCACTCGCCTGTCTTTGTCCTCCTCTCCAGGAATATCGGCGGCCCTGAGTCGAATGCGAGCAGCGGTTTTAAAGGCGGCTTCAACTCTGTGTCTTACAGACTGGGAGGCACTGAGAACGTCACTGTAGAAGTGAACAACGTGTTGGTCAACACTAAGATGCGCAACGTGTTTGGAGTCATCAAAGGATTCATTGATCCTGGTAGAGGAGAACGAAACACGTTTAACTCCGATCATCTGCCGCAGAATTAGATTTCTTCTTCAATGCGTGTGTTGTTTTGTCGTCTGTGTGTCGACAGATCGCTACGTGGTCCTGGGAGCTCAGAGAGACGCCTGGGGCAGAGGTTACGCCAGAGCCGCTGTGGGCACGTCTGTACTGATGGAGCTGGCCAAGGCTGTGAGCAAGATGGTGAAGACAGGTACCGAATATAACTCTCTCCATAGTAATGTGATAAACACAGAGGGAGTGTCGTCGGTGCCCTCAAAACACAGTATACCTCAAAACATCTTTCGTCTGTTCACTGAGTTTGTCCTGACAGCCCGCGAGTAAAAACGTTGATGATGTTTCTAACATGTGGCCGGTGCAAAAATTGAAAAATCAAAAAGTATATACACACCTCAGGATGAAAAAGAGGAGCCATACACGTAAAAGATACCAAGACTTAGAAAGAAGATGAAATTGATGAGATTTTGGTGAAATGGGAGGATGATTGTCACTCTGCATGACATTAACCTTATAATTCATCCTCTAGAAAAATTCAGGCCAAGGAGAAGTCTCGTATTTGCAAGTTGGAGCGCTGGAGAGTATGGAAATGTTGGTGCCACTGAGTGGTTAGAGGTAAGAACTACAAGTCTTTTATTGAAAATATCTACTGTTCAAATTTTTTTAACACATCTTTGTTTGTTTTTAGGGTTACATGTCCTCTCTTGACAAAAGCGTTTTCACCTACATCAGCCTGGATGGAATAATTATGGGTATGTTCACCACAGCCTGTTAAGTGATGACTTCTCAGTATTCAAATAGTAAGGATGCTAGTGAACAGCGTATTTTTTTCCTTCCACAAGGTCGAGGCAGCTTCATGGCCTCAGCTAGTCCGCTGCTCCACAGCCTCATCGAGAACACGATGAAAAGGGTAACGTCCGTCACAGCAGGGTCATTCAGCTCCCTCATTAAAAGAGGTGGAGTTTATACTCACTGTAATCTGCCTCGTTTGTACAGGTGAAGAGTCCAATCAGCTCTGAAAGCTTGTACGACATGATGGGACAGAGCGACTGGGAGAAAAATACGTAAATAGGAAACCAGTTTTTACAATTTCTTTCGTTTGAAGTTACTTGATGTTAATGCTTCCATGTCCTCTCTGTGAAAGTAGTTTTGATGGTTTAATTCTATAAACAATATTATTAATTGTACATATAAAAGGGTTAGTACTGAACAAAGCTCTTCATTGTTTTTCTATAAATAACTTTAGCTTCACTTTGAGAACTCGTGTTTTCTCAGATTTTAACAAACAAGTAGATACACGTACTTTTTCCTGAATTAAATAAAGTCTAAAACTGCTAGATCTTCATTTAAATAAGGAGCTGAGTATTAGAGCCACGTTGAAAAGAAAAGTAAATCAGAGATTTAGAGAATGTCATTGGATGGACGATAACTTCCGATTATCATGTGAACAGACTAAAGCCGATGTCGATAGACGACCCCGCCTATACCTTCGTGGCTTTCTCTGGAATTCCTGCTGTGTCTTTCCACTTCGTCTCTCCCAATGTGAGTCTCAAAGTTAATAAAACTGTGCACATATACTTATAGTTACATTTTCTACACGTAGAGAAAAAGACGATTAATGTAAAAATGCACATATGGAGTTAGAAGAGCAGAGTGACTGTGTTCCTAGTTTCTGTTTCATTATGTGTGTGTCTGTCTATGTTTGTGTCCAAAGACTGAGTCCTACTCTTACTACGGCACCAACCTGGACAACATGGATCACCTCAACTACCAAACCAACCACCACACCAGTGAGATGACGGCGGTGGCGGCCCAGTTCGCCGGCCTCATGGCCTTGCGGCTGGTCCACGACCACCTGCTCAATCTGGACGTGAGCCAATACGCCAGCGTGCTCGATAACGCTTCGATGCCGGTCTACAAGCGCATCAACCAGCTCGTACAGGTTGGTGTAGGATGAAGCTCGTGTTTCTCTGCGATGAGTTTATTCTGTGTCTTGGTTGCGTACGGCTGCTGGATGGTCTGCCTCATCAACATGTGCGTTGTTGATTTTCATTTTTCCATTGTAGTCCGGTCAGCTGAAGGGCGTGAGCGCCAACTGGCTGAGCATCGCACGAGGCGCCTTTAAAAGGGCGGCAGCCAGCATCGGCAGAGCCATCGACAACAGTGACGTAGAAAACCAGAAGACCTGTCGGACCATCAACGACAGGATCATGAGGGTCAGACGTCTCAGCTGTGTTTCCAATTGCATGTTTACAAGTTGTGCTAATCAAACATTATTCTTAAAAGCAAATGTTGAAACCAACACTACACGAAACTTCTCAGCGTCTGGGGACACGATCCTGTCGTTATTTTTCTCAGCATCTCACACATGTATTCAAAACTTTTCATTTTTTTGTAATTCTAGGTTGAGCATAACCTCCTCTCTCCGTACGTGTCGCCCACTGAGACTCCCTTCCGTCACCTCCTGTTCGGCCGCGGCCCCCACACGCTGGCGTCCATCGCCGAGACCTCGGACATGGAGCAGCTCCGCATCCAGCTGGCCCTCGCCACATGGAACCTGCAGGGGTGTGCTTACGCCATGGTCACAGACATCTGGGACATCGAAGAGGAGATCTGAAAAGGAGGGTGCAGAGATGCAAGCGTGGGTGTGTGGTTGAAATTAACATTCAGGTAGAGCAGAGGGAGGAGCTCCAGTATCAGAGGTAACTTTAAACACATACCTATATTTAATGAGTGTTTTATGGGGAACAGATTCTCGGTCCCATGAAGTTCCAGGAGGAGACAAAAGTTTTTAAAAGTATCAAAAAAAAAAAAAAAAAAAACTAAAGTATCAAATGCTTCTGATAAACCTCCTCACCCGTCCCCCCCCCACCCCATTGCACTTGTACGAGCATTTTGCTGTGAGTTGAAAACACTGAGAAACCTTATTTATACTTAAGTTTTTTTATCAGTGGCAGTGCCCACTATAAAGTTATCATTTGTCTTTTTATACGACGTTATCGGAAGCAGGGCCTTCCATAATTATGACGGTTATACTGTCGGATTCTACGGCAGCATCTGCTACACCAACGACTCCTCAACTGTTGCTGACAAAATGGAGCCCCGAGTAAAGTTGCGCGCCATTAATATAGTGGTTTTATAAAATTACATCCTGAGCGGGTCATCAAACCAACTTGATGACCCGCTCAAGAGAAGAAACTATCTCGATATAAGGACATTTTTATTTATATGCCACAAGCGCGTCAACAAATTGTGCTTTTCTCTTAAGCCTCGTTTAACTGAGATAACAACTGAGCTGATTGGTTAATTTGCGAGGAAGCTTTTTATTTTGCACAGTCGACTTTGGAGCACTTAATGATATCGTGAAGTTATCGGGAGCAGTGCCTTCCATAATTTATTCCCATTATCGGAAGCAGGGTCTTCCATAATGATAAGCAGTGATGGTAGTTTTTATCTACCAGTGTGTGTGTTTTACAGTACATGTGTATTTATCGGGAGCAGTGTCTCTCATATTTCACTTTAAAGGGTGGAACAACTTGTCGGGGACAGTGTTTCCCAGAGTTTAATTTTTTACATATTTATTTGTTTTTATTTGGGGATTTTGTGTGTGTGTGTGTGTACGTGTGTGGGAAGATGCAGTCCTCCTGAACTCCAGAGTGCACGTGCTTCTGATTTCTTTTTGTTTTTGCTTGTGCTTTAATTTCTGAAGCATACTGTTATCTTAACACAACAGAACCTGGTGTGCCACCATTCTGACAGGATTCAATTTATGGAGGGAGCTGGAATTATTTACTGCTGATTTAAATGAAAGAATATGTTCGGTCATACATGTATTCCAGTCAGGACAAAGCCAAAAGCCTCCACATGGGGGTACGGAAAAGCTGAAGTGTGAGGAAAAGATGCTTGGGTATAAATTTAAGTGAAGAACACCAGTGGTTTGCTCCACTGATGGCTGATGATTTTTTTTTCTACATTTTTAATTTGCTCATCTTTCAGACAAAAATCCCATTTCATGTCGCTCCAGAAAGAATTCAAATTAAAGGAGGAAGCATTGCCCCACCTCCCTGTGAAAGAAAGAAATTCACCATGAATGGGGCTTCAGACTTCTGTTATGTTTTGCAATCAAGCAGCTCAGTATTATAGCGTATAATATAACATAGTACTATAGCGCAGTATAGTTGGCAACAAACCTGCTCTGTCAGTCTCGTTCTCTCGCTTTGTGTTTGTGACTTTAAAATGACCACAGATAAACCATAACCGTCTCTGCATGTGTTTTAATTCCAAACTTCCACATAACCAGCATGTTACTGTGTTTCTCTGCTGAGGTGAAGCTCAACAGACCTGAACCACGTTACAAAACCTTCCTTCAAATTTACGGTTCGACCAACTTGTTCTGTTTCCACTGATACACACAGAATATGGCTTATTTTATTTTACATTGTCTTCCTATAAAAGTTAGACAATCGGTGTTTTCCGTTGAATAAAATTAAATAGAACAAATTCCATAACTGATATTCAATAAAGTTAAATGTTACGTGTTTGCTTCAAAATAAAACGTGCTAGAGCTTTAAGAACCTGAATCCTTGGTAGTAAACATGTAAGAAGAAGTGGATAGATCCCTCATATGAACCACATTTAAAATCTGCATTATTTAATCACACTTACCCAACAACATTCCCATGCTTCATTATTCAGATTATTTGACCAGGCTGTTTTCTCACGTCAGTTCCATTCAGCTTGTCACTGTTTTCCTTTGCATCATCTGTGAGAAGAATCAGGAAGAATTTTGAAGTTGAGCAGCCGGAGACTGGATTTTACTTTCTTGCTAAACGTTAAACTGTATCTGAAGCTTATCAGTATGATTTCTGTACTTGGGTTATTTTTTGAAATTGTGTTTCTGTGATTTCCACGTTCTGCAGAGAATAGAAATAAATCCTCTGGCTTAGCATCATGCAGTGTGTGTGTCTCAGTTCTTAACTATAGTAAACAAAGAGATTGCATCCCTAATCTGTTTTAGATGTTCAGAAACATTCAGAGTGAATCTGAGTGGGAACCAGTGGTTTAAATGGTGTCTTTTAATGTTTTACTACATTCGGTAGCAGTGTTGTGCTTCCTGTGGCGTTCCTTTCAGATTCAAAGCACCATTTTCACCGAGTTTTGCCATTTAACATTCACAGTCAATGATACAACAGAAATTGAAAGTCTCCTGCTGAATGAATGCTCAAATCAGACATATGTATACTTACTGATACACATATGACGACGTCTGATTATTATATTATCATATTTCTCGCATTGAGTCCTAAAAAGTTACCAAATATAACATAAAGAAAATATATATATTGAAGACAATGTAATCACCATTTTCAATTTGTATGTGATATATATTGTATACGACGTACATATACTTCAGAATTACCGTATCATATTTTTCACCATATGATTCGTCAATATATATATAATATATAATCAAAATATATATATCCATACTTTACAATGTATAATATTATATACTGGAAATCTATGTATAAAATGTATCTGTACTTCAAAATAAAAGCGTTGGTTTGAGGTGTTTAAAGTCTCACCAGCATAAAATTACATTATTATGAATCATTTATCATATATTAATTGTTTTTGTCGTTATTATTGACGTTATAATCATGTAATTTTAAAATGTTTGTGTTGCTTCGACTTTAAACCACAACCCTGCGCTTTTACTTTGAAGTCAGCTCCTCCTGAAACAGGAAGTGCCTTTATTTTGGTAATTCCGGTGCACGGTGGACGGGGGCGCTGTTCGTTATTCACGTACGGAGGTTACGCACCGTTACGCTCATTAATCTGCGGCAGCCTCGCGAATTAACGGAAGAGACGGAGATAACGGATCCGGTGGACTCGATCGTTTCCACCGACAGACAGCGCGAGTCTCCGCCGGGCCGCGGCTGCCGAGAGCCGGGACGCGGAGCGAGGACCGAGCGGAGGAAAGGACCGAGTCCCGCCGCTGCAGAGCCCGGCTTCAGAGGTCTGTATCCCGGGTTCATTCTCTCTTCTCCATCGAGTCGACATGTAAAAAACCAAACAAACGGATAAAATGAACAGATGTGAATTAAATAAAGTTGAAACAGTTTGAACAGGAAACATCTGATTGTTTCCAGAGACACGTGTCGACCTGAAGATAAGAAGCTTTACACTGAAGCAGCAGCTCCATCAATTAAAGTCTCTCCTCATTCATCACATCTCTGTTCCTCTCTTTCTCCATCACTTCAGTTTCTTTTTATCTCTCCCTCTGTTTCTGTCTTTATTTAAAAAACACACGAGCTGTTGTAGTTTTTAGCACATTGATTTAGACATATAGTCATTTGTACCATTTTAAACCACATAGACAACATATGTGCATTTTAGGCGTTTCGATTGTTTGAAATCTTCACATTTTATTCATTGAGTTCGTTTTTCAAATATTTCCTCTGTGAATTGAATTTAACAATATAAAGATGCTTCATGTCAAAGCTTTCTGACATTGACCGGGAAAAGAACTCTTATGTTTGTTCACTAAGATTTAAGGTAATTAGTTGTGTAGACACGACTTAAAGTTCACAGCTGTGTCTCCATTAAGGGGCCGTCTGGTCTTCAGAGGTTTTCTCCTTACTGCTGTGAAGCAGTTTGTCACTTAAGCACAATGAATCCTGGGATAGGTTGGACCACGGAGCCTTCGTTTCTCAGGGATGGAAGGATGCATTTGTTGGCCACATTCGGAGGAACCTTCAAAATGGGACAGTCTAGTCACGTTGCTGTGACACATTTGTTCTTTAAATGCAGCAATCCCTGTCCCGTCTGACAACATGGAGGTGACGATTTGGCTTCACTTCTGGGTAGCTGTCATGTAATCCATTTTTATTTACAATCTATATTAGCCGTATACTTTTATTATGTCGTAAGCTTTGAGAGGACTCGATCTTGTCTCAGCTCAAAGGTGAAGACCACACAAAGAAAATAAATCTATTTCTAAGTTCAGTCTTCGAACTTGGATTCACCCTGAAAGACTTGAGAAAGTCCCGACCTTCTGAAAACAGCTCAGTCTGATCCTCCTCACAGTGAAAACAGGGACATGTGGACGCTGGTCTTGTTGGTCTGCTCGTGTCTGTCTCTGTGACTCTGTGGTCTCGGTCACTGTTTTCTCAGTGTTTTTGTGTTTTTGTTCTCTCTCTCTGTCTCTCTCTCTTTATAGTAACACATGAACTCGAGTTTTCCTTGTGGGTTTTTCTTCTTCAAACAAGAATAAATTTAGCTTTCTCTGCCTCGCCGTCACTTCCTGCCTCTCACACATATCACGTGTGTGTTTCTGGAATCACACGCTGACTCTCTTTGTTATTTCGTGTGTATTCAGATGTGGGTTCCCTCCGTCCATGGCCGTCTCCAGGTGACCTCCAGTGACCTCAGTCACTCCTGATTGCAGCTTTAATTCCTGATCCTCCAGACGTCAGGGTGAGAAGTCCGACCTGCACAGTTCATTCATTCTTATTTACTAAACGATAGAGACCATCAGCACAGACTGCATCTAAAGGTGGACGACATGACGGCTCCCCACTAATTAAGCAGCACAGGTCATTAATTCCACCTCCTCCATGTTAGTGGATGGGACATGGACCAAACTGTAAAGTAAAAATATTTTTTTCCAAATATGGTTTCTGTCAAATGTTCTGAGCGAGTGGTTGATATTCCACTAAATTTGGTTTAAATTACTTGTATAATGTTGTAATCAACAGCTAATTAGTTTAAATGAGTACATACAGACTCATCACCACAAGATGGCAGCGTTTGTATCTGGGATATTTTGGCTTCATGTCTGGATAATGGGAGGAAATGGAGACTAGAGATTATAAACTTTATAAACATGAAATAAATGAACACATTTGTTGATGACAAACTATTTAATGATACAAATTCCAACAAGCTTTTTTTTCTGCATTCTTTATTCTGTACGATATAAATCTTCATATCGCTGCAAATCAGCAAACACTGATACCGATGAAGGTGCAGAGTGAATCCTCACTTCATCACAAGGAGGAATCATCAGTGTGTCTGTTAATTGAGTCTCAGGCATCTGATGCAGAGATGAGAAGAAAAGTGAAGCAGCTCTCCTCTCCTCACACCAGCTCACGTCTGCTGCCAGTGAGCGAACGTGAGCTAAATTCACTTTTTCTATTTTTGGAGCATCGGCCTGGATGCAACACGCAGAGATGAAAGCTCTGATTTTGTGCTCATTTAGGCCACAGATGCACACAACACACGCACACACACACACGCACACACACACACAGCCGCTGCAGTTCATGCACCAGTTAGCTTGTCTTGGTTAGCGAATGTTTGCCAATGGTCAAAGCTCAGTATTTCTCCCATCTCCTCGTTTCTTTCCATCTTTCTCAATCTACATTATCTTTAGGAATAATTTACACATTTCTCCCACTGACCCTGGTTTTCTCAATCCAATTTTCTGAATTCTGTAATTCTCAAAATCAAAGAAACCACAGATTCATATAAAGACAAGATAAGAAAAGATAAGACAGCTATAACTAGTTAATCGTTCATTCCATTAAATGTCAGAGTAATGTCAAGT